TACTTTGATATATATTAAATTTAAAGGCTCACATCAATCTAACTGAAGCATATATCTACCTTTATAAACTCAACCGTCTTAATTGTGACACTCCGGGCGTCGTTTTATTACCACCTTTTATCTCTAATGATTAGAGCATGTTAAAAATATAAGTTCTCATTAATTCAAGTTAATTATCAAACACCAATTTAATACAATTCATAAAAGCTAGAAAGTTTACATCCCAATTTAATTATCCTGGCAATTTAGCAGTCAACCAGGAGAGTTTCAGTCAACGATTTATTTTTTTTATTTTGTGGCCATGGCTCTTGCTTCGCTGGCTGTTTGGCGATCGCACGGGGAATCCCCTGCATTTAAAATGGTTTTGAATTTTCAGTGTACATATGTACTGTTTGATAGATTTATTAAATAAATTTTGTACCTATTTTTTTTAGTACTAAATATTATAATTAGATTATTGGTTACTGAAGAAGATATCTGAATATTTCAATCTTCAGCATGTTAAAATATAATATACTAGCACATGAATTTACTTCAGGAGAAAAATCTATTACTTGGATTTATTTCATCTCACCTTTATTACCCTAAAGTTGATCTGTGATGAGAGTCAAGACCTGAAGGTTCAAAGTATGAAGTATGATTGATCGAGATACTTGAGATGGGAGCAGAGAACCAGCGCTTCACCAAGATTAGGATGAAACATTTAACTGCAGGTGGACTTCTTCATGTCACCACGAATGATGAGGATCATCAACTTCAAGGGTTAGAGCTCTACTCCCACTCCACAAAGCAACTCATTGACAGTACTTCCTGAACCATACTCCAATATTGAGAAAGCCTTCAAAATCAGATTGTGGTCTGCAGAAAATAGGCATGCATCAAATATCAACATAAAATGTTAGCTTAAGCTTTGACTTGCACATAAGTTTAACATTAATTGCATACAGGGCCAACTTGCACATGTTTACCTGTCGATTCCATGAATGTCGTTAGGAAATACAATAGCTTTTACCTCAACCCCTTTCTCCTTCAATGCCCGTAGATACTGTAAAATTTCAAATCTCTATATCAGACAAGTGACCTTACAATACTAATTTTGACGGTTAAAACTTTAAGAAAACAAATATAACTAAATAAAATCTAAAACAAAATATAGTTTTATTTTAAAAAATAACATCAAAAACAAAAACCTCAACCATAGATCATCCCCTTAAAGAATACTGATCTGATAAGCTCAACACTGACAATTTTTTTTTAGATAAAAGACAAAATTGTGTTACTAAAGGCATCAAGGGAATGCCACCCATTTAAAAAAATTTACAACTCAATTGTCATGAGGCTAAGAAAATCCTCTCTGGTATTTGAAGAGTGACCCAGCGACAAAAACTCTAGGGTCCTAAACCACCTGTTCTTAAGAACATCAAAACCCTTTACTGCCTTAACCCCCTCAAAAAAGCTCCTTTATTCCTCTCATTTCAAGCAGTCCACAAAATGGATAGTGGGATAACATCAGCAAACAGGCATCTATTTTTCAAAAAACCCCACACCCACAGCTCCTCTTTCACAGAACCGGCCATGACCCAGCTTATCCCCAGAGCCTTGTACACCAGGACCCACAATTCATACACAACAGACACTACAGCAACAGATGATTACAGCTCTCTTCTGCACTCAAAAACATATAACACCCATTAACCAGAACCTGACCCCTTCTCCTTAATTTATCAATGGTGAGTATACAGCCCCTGGACGCCTCCCATACAAAAAAAGTCACCCTGGAGGAACCTTAGCGTTCCATATAAGGGTATGTCATCAGCATCATTCAATGATAATTTGGAAATGTGCCAATCAGCCTCGCATACTCGTCAATCTCC